TAAGGGGGTTAGCCTGTTTTTTAGCGAAAAAAACACACCAACATTTCCAATATTTCAAATAAGAAGCCCACGTTGCCTTGCCAACCGAATTCTGTAAAATCTTGTTCACTTGAGTGATATCAGATCCCAAGCTCAGGCCTGAATAGCCACTGGGTCATCCTCTGCTTCTGGAGCCAGGATTCTGAATAAGGTAAGCTGTGAACGAAAAATGGCGTTAGCAATGCAATTTAACTTACCTTGAATATGTGTTGCCCTCAACCAAATATTATTAGTCCACTGACTAAGAAAACGCATTTTCAAACCAGAAAGACTGTACAAGACTATTTTCTACAACTGAAAAAAGCATAAGATACAACATGACTTCTAGAAGCAAGCACGCGGCAGAGAGTGGCAAGTTTCCAGATCTAAGTCCAGTATTGCGCAGCTGTGTGTATGAAGCAACAAAATGGAAATAGCTGTTCTGGTGAGTAACATGGAATTCATAAATTATATTGCAGAGAAAAGTATATTGAAGTTTGCATTTAATAGCTATTCAGATGCTGTTTTGCGGCAATCTTTATACACACAATGTGAAATTGCCAATAGTGAAATTGACAAGAAATTTTTAAAAAGAAAAAACAAAAGATCAGAAATGTCTGTACTTACAACGCATTGATTTGTAAACAAGATGCAGGTCAAGAATGTTTCGAATCAGCAGATAAAGAAGTAGATTTTAATGGGTTAACAGATGACAAATCAGATTTAAATGAAAAGTGTAACAATGTAACACAGAGTACATGCTATAATTGTGAGAGATTGTCAGAAACAGTCTGTGAAATAGAGAATTGAATTGAACTAAGAAATTATCTTATTTGCCAGCTTAGAAATGAAGTTAAGCAAGTGAGAGTGAACACAAGAAAAATACAGGGAGAGAATCTAATCCCAGAACCAATTGATACCGAAAATGTATCACCACAGAGTGATTTGCAGAAATGTAAATTTCAAGACAGCTGCAAAACTTAATTTGAAAATCTATGAATAATTAATGGAAATTGTGAAATGTATTCCAGTTTAAGACACATCAGTGGATGCATTTACTAATGCTGAAATATTTGAGTCAAATTTGGACAAATATAGCCTAAATGACGAACAAAAGAATAGACTATTTAAAATATGGCTGCCGACTCAAATGTAGACTGACCACGCCTGTAAGATTTAAGGACAATGATGAAGTAATATATGGGAATGGACAAGATAGATTAACACAGTTAATAAAATTAACAGAGGATGATTTTTCAGACAGTGAAATGTTGGAAAAACTGAAACCAAACAATGATGAGAATATTTTGTTTTCTTGTAAAATTTGAAAGTGCATATAGACTTGTTGCTAATTTTTCTGAAGATCAATTAATTCATAAATTTGTAAGAAATTTGAAACTCTAGATCCAAATGCAATTGTAATTGCAAAAGAAAAAAGAACTTTGAGAGAAGTTGCTTTGTTCTTAGATAAATTAAGGCTGGAGTCCAGAAATGAAGGGGTTAAAATTGACTTGTGAACGCCAGAGAAAGAAGCCCAGGTTTGACCCTCCTCCTTCTTTTTGGACAGTGTGTGAAAGAGTGATACAGACAGCTGAGCACCTCCCAATTTTCTCAACTAAAAATTGTAGCGTTAACAATCAAAGGCAGAATATAACTCCTAAAGTTATTTGTTTTTAAGGTCATCAATATCAAATCAAATGGAAATGAGAAATTGAATTTGTTGATTGAAAAATTACATAGTGGAAATATATGTAATGAAAAATCAATAAAGGCCTTTCCTTGTAAACTGATAATCAGACAAATAAGAGACATTTTAGCTAAATCGAAATATGGATACAGACAAGCAATGCAGTGTAACACACAACGTTATAAGAATCAGATAACTTCACAAGACATGATCAAGTTAGAGAAAGAGGAAAGTATATGTCTGCCAACAGATGTGCACAGACTGATTTCAGAGTTAAGAACAGTGCAAAAGAATAGAGACCTATGTTTGTTTGTTTTACTGAATTGTTAGTCTGTACTGTTTTTTCATTGTTTTTATGTGTGTTATAGGAAAATATTAGGTTAATTAATTAAAAGGAATATATACATCAAGGTTGCAAGTATGTTAAGATGAAATACACTAATGTGGCAGTTGTTAGGAAAAAACTATGTATGTTATATTGAGTGTGAGCAAATATAGAGTAACTCCAACCATTTTACAGAAGGGAAAACAAAGGATGAATTCCTTGTTACTTCTGGGGTTGATTTAAAATCTCTGATTTAATTCATAAGAATGAGATTTTAATATCATGACTGGCAAAGGATTACTATATTTTGCAAAGCCTGGACATACATATGTTTTGGCTATATAGAAGACTAAAGTTTTGATAGGCTAAAACCTAGATTTGCAAATACATTTGATGTAGGAAACAATATTTGTCTTTTGTAGTTTGTTTCATGTGACAAAATGGTGCCAGTGTTAACACAAGATGGCTACGATTGCTAAAGTATAATGTGAAACAATGTTGTTGAAATGTGTATAAAGGATATTTAAAGATTATACATCACATGCAATGAACACAAGATGGTAGAACTCATGAAAAAAAATGAGAATGTTGTGTAGTCAATGTAATTCAATGTAATGTTAAACTGTATAATAATACGATTGACTTGTAAATGATGTAAGCCATTGTATTGATGCTGCACATGTTTTTTGTTTTATTGTAGGTAAAGCATGACAGATTCATGTGGCAATAAATTAGGAAAATATTCATTTAGACAACTGGACATTGGCTGTTGGAAAGAGTCTTTTCATCTGACCTGCAAACCCCAATGGAAGCTTCTACAGAGTTAATTTGATACAGACGATTAACAAACTTAAAAAGAAATAAATTATTGACACTAACATATTAATTCCTAAATATTAACAGAAAAGAAAACAGACGATGAATAGTTAAACAGTTATGAGTATATTAATACCAAAAGAGAGTACTTATAAATGTTTAACACATAAAGTAAAATTATGAAGAGAACTATTACATTATGACCTATACATAGGAAGAGAAGTATCAGAGGTAGATAAAATAAGGATCACGGTTACTTAATACTACAAACAGTGAGGTTAATAATATGTCATAGATTCACAAGAATAAGTAATTTCTTGATATCGAGGTGAAGTAAAAAAACTGGTAACTAAAGGAAGAAAACTAAGGAAGGATAATTTATGTTGATTAATATTAAGTAATACCTTGAATATAAGAGTTCATAAATCCAAGAGGAATACGTTTGCTTAAGATTATAGTACACAGTTATATTTGACTTAAATCTATAAAGGTATGGACTAGGGAGAATAGGTTTCTGGATATGATGGTTTCCAGTGAATAAGTTGTTTTATGATTACCCTAGGTCTGTAAGACATGGACTAGGGATAAGAGTTTCTGGGCAGTATGTCCCAATGTTTATTTTATTTTAGTTAGTTGAAGTGTACTAAGGAATACGGATTGGTCAGAACAAATGTTTAGGTAACATTTGGACAATCCTACTTTTATGTTAAGATGTATTACATTAATAAGTCATTACAATGCTAATGAAGAGAGTGATGATAATGAATTTAAATTATTCTTTCCAAGTTCTTTTAAAGTAAACTTTTCTCCGATTGAATGAAAAGTTTATTATAAGGTGGGATTTTAGTGAAAATTATTATGTTAACAAATAGATGTGGGAAATTAGCTTTTCTTGAGATGTTTGTCACACACCAGTGTTCTAGTAATCGAATCAGTGTCTTGCAGCCAAAAACGTATATTTATTCAAACATACACAAAATCCAAAAACATACGTCAATGCAAAAGTCTTTGACCAGTACAGAGCAATGTTCACGATGGTATCCATTTTTGATGTTAAAAGTATTGGTAAACATGTATGATTATATGGTTCTACCTGTCATTAACTAATGAGGTGAAACTTGAGTTTGGAGTTGCACAAATAGACATTAATACTCCTGGTCAACATGTTACCCAATTACTCCCTGTATCTTCAAGCATTTTTTTTTTCTTTCAATTTAGATTATACTGTAAATTAATTTATATATAGTCCCATGGTCTTTTTACCAAAGGTACTCTCTGTAATTTTGGTTTCTAGTGTTTAGGTCTTGGATTAAATTGAGCACATATGAGACACTCCTGCAATAAATCACTAGGTACAAATGTTTGTGTTTCATCATGTTTAACCCCGTACAAGCCAGTTTCAGTATCTAGATCTATTGTTTCTATACTGAAAGTTACATCCTTTGATTCGCTTTCAGATCTTATAGTGTATTTGCTATTTGTCTTTTGCAACAGTTGCAATCATTACATTTTACAAGTATTACAAATCCTATAAAAGCAGCTTCTTTTGATTCCTGATCTACCAGTCTGTTTCACAAGTTAAACCCCCCTTTTTTTTTCACAATTAAACAGTTCTGCCAAAATACCTGTATGTTTTAAAGCTTTATCTTGAGAATCTACCATCCCTTTTTTCCCCCTCCATATTAGGAGGTGAAATGTTAGCTGCTGTCGCTGATTATATTCATTGGATCATATGCTGTTATTTCTAGAGCTTTCTTTAGGAACTCTAACTCGGCTATCTGAGCAGACATATGGTCTGGCAATCTGTACCTCTGCATTTATTTTGTTTGGTCATCATATATGGCATAACCTGTATGATGTGATCCATCAACATAAAATCTTGATTTCCATCAAGTCAGGAATAACATATCTTTACTGGTTTCTATCCTGAGTGCTTTATCTTGTAATTTCAATATCCAATGAGCTACCCTCTGGCTATGTACTCCCAAATCAGAACTATTTTTAACAGTTTTAAATATTTGGGGGGGTTGTAAAATTATCTGTCCAAATCCTACAATGTGTTGTATTGCTTCTAAAGTCCAACTTACAGCCATGAGCTGTTTTACACGGGTAAACATTCCTCTTTCCCTGGAGACATAATTTTAGAAAAATATCCCAGTATACATAAAGAGTCATATGCTGCCTTTGCTATTAATGAAGAGACACCTGCGTAACATTGAACAATATATGGTACTGTTTCACTGGGAGCAGCTAGCACAGACACTTGTGTGAGAGTATCTTTTAACATATTTCAACTCTTTTCAACTTCCCCTGTCCAAATGATCTTATCTTTTATACTTTTATCTTTTATACTTTAACATATTGCATAAGGGTTTTGCTATCTCTGCCATATCCTATATGAATTTTCTGCTAAAATGTATCAAGCCTAAAATTTTCCTTAGATCAGACACTGTCATTGGCCTTCACAATTGCTGTAACGCTTTAACCCTTGTTGTACATGGTGTTTTACCTTCAGGATCTACATTAACTCCTAGGAAAGCCAATCTTTCTTTCAAGATCTGCACTTTGAATGTGTTCAGTTTTACCCATTATCTGCCAGTTCTTGACAAATATCACACAGTAACTGCTCATGCTATTCCCTTATTACTGTTTCAACTAACAGATCATCAACATATTGCAAAATCTTGTTCCCATACCCCAGGGGTTGCAATACTGGAGTCAATTCTTTATGAAAGTAAGTTGGCGAGGAGTGGAAGCCCTGTAGCAACACCTGGAACAGATATTGATGATTTTTTTAAAGGTAAAAGCAAAGTGATACTATCTGGATTTAATTATATAGAAAAGAACCCATTGGCTATATCCAGGACAGAAAAGTACTTAGCATTTCCATCTACTTGTGCCATGATATCTGGTGAGGAGGCCACTATATGAGCTGCTGGTGGGGTATACTTATTCACCACGTGTATGTCCACAATTAAACTATAAGTGCCATTGGGCTTGATTATTGGCCAAATGGGGGAATTACATATGGAATTACTCTCAACACTCCTTGAGATACCAATGCCTTTATCACATGACTCACACCTTCTTCTGATTCTTTGGGATTTTATATTGTTTTACTGCAGAGGGGTCTAGCCTTCAATAACAACTTATAAATTCATTCTCCCACAATCTTGTTTAGACTTAGACCACACTGTGGGGTATTTTAATTTAAGATATGTTACAAACTCATCATCTTTTTGTATAGAAGGTGACACTTCACTCTGTTTTACAGTCATATCATGGCTATACCATCTTAAATCATTAGGTTTAACCACTCAACATGTTTTGCTCTCACCTAGAGCTTGCCATAAAACCAAATTCAATAAATCCACATAAAACCTTTTCCACTAACCACATCCATTCCCATAACAGTACAGTGTGAGGAGGGGTGCACCAATAAATCTCAATAGATTTTTCCTCCTTCAAACTCAATGTCATTATCAGTGGATAGAGTTGTATGTGCATTTGTTCCAGTAAAACTTAGAAGGGATTTTGTTGATATGCTTCAATTTTTAACCCCTTAAGGACCGAGGACGGTTCAGGACCGTCATCGGCATTTTTGCGTTGCCGACCGATGACAGTCCTGAACCGTCCTAACGGTCAGAGCTACTTACCTGATCGCCGTC